CTGCCTCAGAGCCTGGACGGATTGTTGTCATTGATGGGAAAATGAATTCCAGAGTTTATCAAGACATTTTGCAGGAAAATGTACGACCATCTGTCCGCCAACTGAAGCTCCGCAGAGGATGGGTGATGCAACAGGACAATGACCCAAAGCATACAAGTAATTCAACAAATCAATGGCTGCAACAGCACAGAATACTCCTTCTGGAGTGGCCCAGTCAGAGTCCTGACCTCAACCCGATTGAAATGCTGTGGCATGACCTTAAGAGAGCGATTCACACCAGACATCCCAAGAATATTGCTACACTGAAACAGTTTTGTGAAGAGGAGTGGTCCAAAATTACTCCAGATCGTTGTGCAGGTCGGATCTGCAACTACAGGAAACGTTTGGTTGAGGTTATTGCTGCCAAAGGAGGGTCAACCAGTTATTAAGTCCAAAGGTTCACATACTTTTTCCTCCCTGCACTGTGAATGTTTACATGTTATGTGCAATTAAACCATGGCAACTGTTACGGATCCGCCAGGTGGCACCTCTGGCAGCCCACTAGGCGGAATCACCCGGAGCGTGGGGTCTAAGTCCCGGTCTGCATTTTCACCAGGGCCCCTGATGGTGGGGATGGACTTGGAGCAGAACCAGGACCAGGTCACGACCTCCGAGCAATACCACCCGTGGCAGAGGGAGCCTCCGTGGATAGAAGTAGGACAGAGTAGAGTCAGATGTGAGGAGGCCGGCAGGACCTGGCAGGATAAACCGGCGGTTGTCACCGTGGGAAATGGCGTGGTACCGAGACAGTAGGCAGAGAGTGGTCAGGTCGCACGCTGGGTCAGTTACCGGGGTCAGTCCGCAGAATGGTCAAACAAGCCGGGGTCGGGACAGGAGAAGGCAGCGTAGTCAGGGACAATCCGGGTCAATCACAGGGGAAGGCAGCGTAGTCAGATAATCCGGGTCAGGGCAGGAGCAGGCAGAACGTCAAACAATCCGGGTCACAATCACAGGAAACACAGGTATCAGATCAGACCTTGCGGCGATTTGTGACAGTGCAGGGCATCTTTAAATATCGCGCCCTGCACTGCCATTGGCCGCCCAGGACGCGCCCCCGGGCTGTCATTGGTCGCCCGAGGCGCGCCCACGGCTCCTACTGTGCATGCGCGGCCTCCTGTCAGCCACGGCCCGCCGGGATCTGGTGCCTGCGTCCCGGCGTGAGCCGCCGCTATTGCGCATGCGCCGGGGACGGAGCCGCGGCGGACCCTGACAGCGACATCTAATGTTTGTGTAGTATTATGTTCAGCAGACATGTTTCTATATTGTTGTGACTTAGTGACGTTCAAGCTTGTCATCTGGGCGTCGTCATAAGTAAGCCCAAGCCACTGGCTCATCTTACTTTTTCGCGTGCCTCCTGTAGCGGCTGGTGTCCTGTCGTCCCGCAGTCACTGTGTCCCATTGGCATCAATGGGAAATATCCCTAATGGAATAGAGAGGAATAGAAAACTGATAGATTCTGACCATTTTGATATACTGTAACAGCAGCTGTGTCTTCTTGTGACAAGAGGATTCATGAAACAGCAAAGACTTGCAAACTGGTAGGTGAGCTGTGAACAGCACACACTGGAGGAATGATCTCCACTCCATACTTTTAAAACCTGGGGCTGTGTCCATGCAGTCACTGTGTCCCAATTGGCATCAATGGGAAATATCCCTAATGGAATAGAGAGGGAATAGAAAACTGATAGAATTCTGACCATTACCTACTATATACATGTAACAGGCTCCTTGTACAAGAGGATTCAGAAGGAATCACATGATGAGCAGTCAGTCCTTTCTCTCTCTCTCCTATTTGTAAAACCTGGGCATTCTGCCAAGTTCATGACTCATCCACTACACAGCAAAGAACGCTGGGAGGGGGAAGCAGGAAGTGAAGGAGAGAACAGAGAGACAGGAGGCTGGAGAAAAGACAGGGACATGTGGAGCCCGTCCAAGCAGAGGAGGAGGCACTACAGCACCCAGCGCGGATAGAGGGACCCTGCTGTGTGTTCAGAGTCTGGTGAGCTGTCCCCCTGGAGAGAGTAAGACACACCATTTACACTTTGCATATAGACTGGGACATCCGCACCCCACTGCTGGGATCTCACCCATCCGGGGCCCTGTGCAAGCCACAGATCCTCCTGCCTGCTTTGTCCCTCACCACCAGTGTAATTGAGACTGTCTGCCCCGGGGACTGACACATACTGGGAGATTGCATACTGCGACTGCCCCTGGTCTTGGGGTGCTTTGTGTTGCGTTTAGACACTGAGGTTGGACCCTCTCAGCCCCAGAAACCTAGTGAAATTGGATGTAACCCACACCAGCTGAAACTCCAAAGAAGCCTTCAGCTGCTATTTACTTCATTGTAAGGACTAAACGTGCACCAACTAGAGCTCCACCGTTACAAGGACTGCAGTGGGGGAATCTGGCTTAGTAGCTTTATTAGAGGTACCTCTTTATTGCATTCTGTTCTGACTCTGAGGTGATTTTTGGCTAACGCCCCTCAGAAGCAGAATCATACCCCGGTGTGGGTAATACATTTCATTGATAGAGTATAAAAGTAAATTTATTTGTTTGATATCAGTTGTATTCTGCTTAAAGTGCGACTCTGCCATCCGGAGACTCTTGGCTGTGAAGCCCTCTAGTGGCAGACCAAATTTACTGCATTGCATAAAAGAAGAAAAGTAAGTTTGGAAGTTGAAAGGGGAACCCCACCCCTCTGCACTGCATTTCATTCTCCATAAAATTGTTCTTGTTTCATTTAACCCTGTGTCAGCAAATTTCTTGGCGGGGTATTTGCTATTCATTACCAGTTGTGCCAGAGGGATTGGGTTTGCTTAGGGTTGGATCTATTGAGCGCAGGACCCATAATATATTCCAGCTTGTCCCAAGGGGCAGTGCTACATACAAACAAGAAATGCATTTAAATCCAGTGCAGCCATGTTTAGAAGACCTCTTGGTTGTTCAGCTATTTTTTACTTATGATTCTGTCTTGTGCAATCTCCCTATGTCAAGATAAGAGTGGAAGAACTAAGGAACAGAGTGGGACCAAGGAACACTCAGTCTGAACTTTTAGTTTATGGCCAGTAAGAAAATAAGAAAAACTGCCAAAAATAAGGGCACACTAACCCTGTACACTGTGGTAACACAACGTGTCTTCATGGACTACGATGCACTGCGGTAACACAACGTGTCTTCATGGACTACGATGCACTGCGGTACCACAACGGGGTTTATTTACTAAAGCTGGAGAGTCCAAAATCAGACTCCCTTCTGCATAGAAACCAATCAGCTTCCAGGTTTCATTGCCAAAGCTTCATTGAACAAGCTGAGGTTAGAAGCTGATTGGTTTCTATGCAGAAGGGAGTCTGATTTTGGACTCTCCAGCTTTAGTAAATAAACCCCAAACGTGTCTTCATGGACTACGATGCACTGCGGTAACACAACGTGTCTTCATGGACTACGATGCACTGCGGTAACACAACGTGTCTTCATGGGGACTATGATACACTGTGGTAACACAACGTGTCTTCATGGACTACGATGCACTGCGGTAACACAAAGTGTCTTTATGGACTATTATGCACTGCGGAAACACATCCGTGTCTTCATGGACTATGATGCACTGTGGTACCACAACGTGTCTTCATGGACTATGATGCACTGCGGTACAACAACGTGTCTTCATGGACTAAGATGTACTGCGGTAACACAAAGGGGTTTATTTACTAAAGCTGGAGAGTCCAAAATCAGACTCCCTTCTGCATAGAAACCAATTAGCTTCTAACCTCAGCTTGTTCAATGAAGCTTTGGCAATGAAACCTGGAAGCTGATTGGTTTCTATGCAGAAGGGAGTCTGATTTTGGACTCTCCAGCTTTAGTAAATAAACCCCAAAGTGTCTTTATGGACTACGATGCACTGCGGTACCACAACGTGTCTTCATGGACTACGATGCACTGCGGTACCACAACGTGTCTTCATGGACTACGATGCACTGCGGTACCACAACGTGTCTTCATGGACTACGATGCACTGCGGTAACACAAAGTGTCTTTATGGACTATTATGCACTGCGGAAACACAACGTGTCTTCATGGACTATGATGCACTGCGGTACCACAACGTGTCTTCATGGACTATGATGCACTGTGGTACCACAACGTGTCTTCATGGACTATGATGCACTGTGGTACCACAACGTGTCTTCATGGACTATGATGCACTCCGTTAACACAACATGTCTTCATGGACTATGATGCACTGTGGTACCACAAGGTGTCTTCATGGACTAAGATGCACTGCGGTAACACAGCGTGTCTTCATGGACTATGATGCACTGCGTTAACACAATGTGTCTTCATGGACTACGATGCACTGCGGTAACACAACATGTCTTCATGGACTACGATGCACTGCGGTAACACAACGTGTCTTCATGGACTATGATGCACTGCGTTAACACAACGTGTCTTCATGGACTACGATGCACTGCGGTAACACAAAGGGGTTTATTTACTAAAGCTGGAGAGTCCAAAATCAGACTCCCTTCTGCATAGAAACCAATCAGCTTCTAACCTCAGCTTCTTTAATGAAGCTTTGGCAATGAAACCTGGAAGCTGATTGATTTCTATCGGCTCATGAGCGGACTTTTTATCGGTAAAAACGATTGGCCGATTTGCCCATCATTTCCGGGAATATCGGCCAATCGTCAAAATCGGTTGCGAATTTTCCAACTGGCCGATAAAAAAATTGTTCCAAAAACCTGAAAAATGGCCGACCAATTAACCCACTAACAGTGTGAAAATCGGCCGATTTTTTACCCAGTTCTGGCCGGCATTATTATGTAACCGCTGTAGTCTGATAGTAGTTGGAGGTCAACGGCAGTTCCAAATGCCACCACTGTAGTCTGACAGTAGTTGGAGGTCAATGGCAGTTCACAGTGCCACCGCTACATCTGGAATGATAGCTAGAAAAATCTTACCTCTTGAGAGGCCTTATCCCAGTCAATCCGGAATACGAAAGGTCAGGAAGCCAATACATTGTAAGAATGCACACAGGAGAGCGCCAAGCCAAAACCCTGGGTGAAAATAATGTCTGATTATCTGGGAACAGGCAGTGATGATTTTGGCAATACAGCTTATGTTTTCTTCATTCTGTGCTTTTTTTATTTCATCATTTCCAGAGCTTAAAATCTCTACTAAGATCTAATTGTCTCTAAACGTCCTCACAACTGGGAGAAAGACGAGTCTTTCTGTGAACGAAGCTCATTTGTCTTGGTGTCACATTCCAGTTACATTTACAACAATTGGATATTTGTTTGATATTTTAGCCAATCCCCCTCAGCATGTCTTATCTGAGTTGATGTAAACTGGGGATGTGCGGGGCCCAACTCCCATGATGCAATGAGAACATTTTCTGCTCTTCTGCTGTACGTTCATAGACATAATGCTGAGAGGGACACATATTGTATTTGCAGTTTTACAATTTCTTCTAGTACACACATTATGCTCACACATTGGGTAGTTGTAGGTGGCTGTACCCTACACATATCAGAACCCTGCATGCATGAAGCTGCATTCATTGCTTCCCGCGCGCCTTACACCTGTGTATACCTTGCAGAGCACAGAACCACATCCTATTAACCCCTTGTACTACATTTGCCAATATCTGAAATGAGCTCACACACAGCAATTAAAAGGAGAAAGAGGTTCTTTCCCTATTCTATGAAAATAATTTTTATTTCTGCCTGTGTTTCTGGTACTGCCTCCATATCCAATACTTCTGGGTATGTCGTATATCATGTACCCACAACCCGCTATGTCAATATAGGACACAGTAGTGACTTAGAGATTGGTTGAAGGAACCACAATATCTGATACATCTGCAAATATGGAATAGCAGTAGAACAGATCAAAGACTGAAAGTATAACTAAAGGCAAATCTTTAGATTTGGATAGAGTGGAGGGGGATTAGAACACCTGTCAGGTTTTGTTGCTGTCTGTACCCTTGTTAACCACTTGCCCTCCAGAGGATTTACCCCCCTTCCTGACCAGACCATTTTTTGCGTTACGGCGCTGCGTTACTTTAACTGACAATTGAGTGGTCATACAACACTGCACCCACATTAAAGTTACATCCTTTTTTCCCACGAATAGAGCTTTCTTTCGGTGGTAGTTGATCGCCTGTGCGGTTTTTATTTTTTGCGCTATAAAAAAAAAAAAAAAAATCAACAATTTTCAGAAAAAAAAAATATTTTTGAATTCTTGCTATTAAAAAAGGAAAAAAAAAAAAAATCAAATTTTGTCATACATTTAGGCCAAAATGTATTCTGCTACTTGTCTTTGCTAAAAAAAATCCCAATATGTGTAAATTAATTGGTTTACATGAAGTTAGCGTTTACAATTGGTGATATATATACTGGGATTTTTTGTTTTTTTTTTTAACTAGTAATGCCAGCGACTGCAGGACTGTGGCAGGCATTCTGACACTGGGGGAAATTGACTTGGTGTCACTGACATCCAGAGTGACACCAATACAATGATCAGTGCTAACAAAAAGCACTGAAACTGTACTAATGGCACTGGGCATGAAAGGGTTAACATGTGGGGCGATCAAAAGGTTAACTGTGTGCCGGTTTACATAATGTTCTGTGTTTGTCCTTCATTATAAGCACACTGCTTTGCATGGCTGTGCTGCGCACAGCCATGCTGAGCAGTGTGCAGGAGCTGACAGGGAGGAGAACTGTTTTGTCTACTAACAGTTCTTCCCTCCCCCTTACCCCCCATCAGAGATTCTAGGCAATCACTGGGTACTGGCGAGTAATCACAAGGACCCAGTGATTGACAGCCACGTTCGCGAATGGCGGTGCAGTAGGGCAAGTGGACGTTTTGTGCGTGTCCCCTACCCATAAATGCAAAATCACATATATACGTGATTTTGTGCACAGCTGCCGCCCTGTAGCAGTATTTCTGCTATGGGCAGAGCTAAAGCGGTTAAGGAGATCCACTCTCTCTGTTTGTTCTGTTTACCATTATCATTGAAATTGAAAGTAAAAGAAATTCCTAAATTTTGGGTTGTCCCCAGAAAAGTAATATAGGGGAAATCTTCCAATGAGGACACTAGTTCTGGTGACCTGGGGTCTCCAGAGATTTCCTTCCACTTCCCGTTTGACTATGGGACAGGAAGTAAAGAGAAATCTCCAAAATAGGACACAGATGTTGAAACAAAAATCTGACAGGGGTTATAACCATCCTTACTCTATCCAAAGTGAAAAAAAAAATTGCCTATGGTTCTACTGACCTGACTCTTCTCTCGGCCAGTGATGAGGTCATTTTTGTCTTAAATTGTGTTTATTGAAGATAAATTGTAAATGTACATATACACAGTACAGTTAGCTCATGTAACAAGGTACAATGATACAGTTCAACAAGAAATTGAGTCTATTTTGTCAAAACAACAAGGAAAGATCAACATGGAAACTCATCTATAAAGCAGTAGTCTACAAGGAAGGATTCTCCCAAACAAATGGTCGGGATTCAAGTTTTTAAATTGAGAACAGGTATAGGAAGACTAAGGTAGGGGGAAAAAGAGAAGGGAAGCTGGGGTGGGTCAAGGTGAACCTCAGGGTTTGCCCAGGACATCTGTCAACTTCAGCAATGGGAATGTTAGCATCTTTAGAGGTAAAGCAGTTGTCAATAAAAATTTGCCAGTAGAAAATGGTATACCCGGGGGTGTTTTGAGAGCCCGTCTGGCTCCAAATTAAGAGAGCTTAGATGGTTGATCAGGCAACCAAACAATGGTGTCAACATGTCATATAGTGAGATGTTCATTTTAAGCCTGACCCCATTTAATGTCTACAGACTTTCCTATACAGTAAAAGAAGCTATCACTATGTGTATAATGGGTATTGTAAAGACTCCATCTATAACTGGATCTGACTTTAATCTTCATTTATAGTGGATAGAGTTGAGCCAATTGTACCTGGGTTTGGCTCACAAAATATTCACCAAATAGCTCACAAGTTTTGAATGTTAATTCAAACTCCATCGAAGTCAATGGAAGCCCAAATCTTTCCAATCAATTCTGACTATTTTGAAGGCAATGAATTGTCAAATAATGGAGGCTTGGCACTGCCAGGATAAACAAAACAGAGTTTAAAAAAATAAAATGTTGTGGGGCTTAAAACGTTAAAAATGAAAGTTTTGTGGGGTGTGAAATATTCAAAATGAAATATTCCTTTAAAAAACAAAGGTTGTGGGATGCCTCCAGCTTTCCTGTGAAGTGACATATCTGTAGGATATTTACAATGTACGAAAGCAAAACTGAAATTTACAGTACAAAGAAAAAAATGCTGTTTAAATTGTTGGTAAATTACATTTCCTTACAAGCTTGTTTTTATTAATAAAAATGGCATGGGGACCCTACAACAAATAATTATCAGACCCTTAAGGATTTGGAGGGACCTTTGGGATCCAGGAGGGAAATGTAAATTACCAGCAAGTGTTTTTTTTCTTTCTAAACTGTCACTGTCACTTTTGCACCTACAGCAAAAAAACCCAAAAAACGGTGGCCCATCCCCCCAAAAAAATCATGCCAGAACCCTTATTCCTGATGAGGATCAGTTATGGATTTAAGGGGGAACCCCCACATAAACTATGCAAAAAAATATGTTGTGGGGTTCATTCAGACCCCTTGTGTATGGCCAGCTTAACTAAACATATTCAGGTACTTTACTACCTTTGGTCCAAAAACAGAAGACTCCAGTAACCTTAGCGCCCTAGTTACACAATACACAGTAAAAACAAAGACCTGTTTTAAAGCAAATGTAGAGAAATATACCTTCCCTTAATGATCTCTCTCTTTGCACTATCACAATTCAATATGCATTGTGTAGTGTTCAAATTGTTTGACCATATATTCGCTGGGGCACAATAGTGGTCATATTTATAATGCGATGAAGGTGATTTTGACCATATATTCACTAGTGGTGAGTCAGTCACTGTCATTTAACACATATACACCAGGAAGATTCATCTGCAGTGATCATTTGGTGTATGTCAGACTAACAGCTTTATAAATATTCATCTTTGTATACAAAAAGGTTGTTTGTGATGTTGGAGCTTGGTGTCATCCTTTAGAACTGGTAGAGCTTTAGCTTGATTGCATAATCTGATTGTAAGCTATATGGACAGGTAAAAACTTACCGATTATGCCAATCTTGGCTGCAAACATCAGTGAGACAGCCACGGGCAGACAGATAACATAGTAGCCAACAGCGTGAAATATGGCTCCTATCTTCTGCTTTCCAGTGCCACGGAGGATTCCACCACATGTGGCCTGCAAAAGGCAGAAAACCTGTTATGCATCCCCCCAAATAATTAGTTACCAGCATACATGTTTTGGCTACTCTTTGTGGAGATGGAGGAAATTAGGTATTTTAAGTTCCAGGATCTCCAGATCAACAGTACATAGTATTTTCATTTTGTGACAGAGAGCAAATACTTGGTAAAAGGACATCCCCATCTAACCATTGAAAGGGAGAATAACATATAAAGGGCAACAGGGATACAAGGTTTCATCTATTAAAGTGTTTCTCAACCTTCTTTCAGTCAAGGCACCCTTTAAAATTATGGACAGTCTTGAGGCACCCCATTATAAAATGGGGTGCCTCAAGACTGTCCATCATTCTAAAAGGGCACCTTATTCTAAAATGTGTAAAACTATTCTAATAGATTTATATTACACAGCAACATCCACACATGTAGGACACCCACTGGAGGTGATTTATTCTTCCAAAGCAAATACACTTTTGCACACTGATACTGAGTAGTATTCCAGTCTTCTTCCGCAGTTTTTCTCCTTCACTGAGCTAATGTGACCCCAGCACTGATGTAGAGGGGCACGGGAGGGATAAACTAGGATGCTGTGCAGACAACTGACATCCTCCTTATCAACAGATGATGTCATTGGTTCTCACAATGAAAACCTGTGGCTTTGTGTAACTAAAAGGCAGGCTTGTTCCACCCGCTGACTTGTACACAAGTTTTGGCCAATTTTTAGACATTTTGCCAAGGCACCCCTGAAGAAACCTCAAGGCACCCTGGTTAAGAAAGGCTGATCTACTGTATGTGAATGACTCAATGTTAACTGCAATAAGGTGCAAAGCTAGAGGAGGCAGCATGTTCTATGTTTGAATGTTTTCCATCTCAGGGATTGTTAGAGCCATATACACCCTAAAAAAATGTTAAAACCTCACAGAAATCGTTGTTGTTCTTTAAAATATGCAGTGGGATTTTGTTAAAAGAATTACATGTACAACAATTGGATATTTGTTTTATATTTTAGCCAATCCCCCTCAGCATGTCTTATCTGAGTTGATGTAAACTGGGGATGTGCGGGGCCCAACTTCCATGATGCAATGAGAACATTTTCTGCTCTTCAGCTGTACGTTCATAGACATAATGCTGAGAGGGACACATATTGTATTTGCAGTTTTACAATTTCTTCTAGTACACACATTATGCTCACACATTGGGTAGTTGTAGATGGCTGTAACCTACACATATCAGAATATTTTAGATCTAAATAGCACTTCAGTGAGATTTTCTTTGAGTCACATGTTGGTTCCTTTTTTTTTCTCTCAAGTGATTTGAGAAATGGTAGTAGCCTTTTTGCAAACCACCATAGATTGGTTTTAGGGTTAAGGGTAGTTTTCCTTTAAGTAGGTGTCAGATATGTAAGATTCTTACCACGCATCCATCGAACAAGTGACACCCAGCATACACAGGCAGAACATAGCTGACCAGTTTCACAATTCCCCTAGAAGAGAAGAAAAGTGTAAAGTTTGATCAACTGATGACTGAGAGATAAGCTGATACAATTCCTAGGAGGCCTGACAATTGTTTTAGTCCTTGGTGCACTTTGTTCTGTTATGGATAATCCTGTGATTTCATTGAATAGTTTAAAATTTTTCTAAATTAGCAACAGAGGTGTACAAATGTAATAGAAAACATACTAATAACACTGGCAACACGTTGAATCATTAGCTACCACTGTGATGTTACAGTGCTAGGGTTCTAAGCTCAGTTCCTCCAGGGGTCTCCCTGCATGTAACACATTGACTTGATAGTCACCACCGTGACATTACTGTGCTGGGATTCTAAGTCCAGTTCCTCCAGGGGTTTCTCTGTATGTAGTTCTACTTTTTTTTTAAATACTGTATAATGTTTTGTTGCTTTTCATAAGTTTATATGTACTTCGCTGACAGGAGTTTAATAATAAAAATGCTTTGTTATTATATGTCCACTTTAATGGAAACTTTTCATGAGAGAAACATTGAACTTGCCATTGCTGTCCTCTCCTTCTGGAAGTGCTAACTGCTTGGTTGTCATGTTGGCCCTCTGTCTTCAATACTTTAAGTCCCTGACATACAGGTAAGGACGTCTTACTTTGACTTTCCTGATCTGTATACTTGTTCCAGATTGGTGAATGAGGAATCAGTAAACCCAGATACATGACAATCAGGCACCAAGGAATTCAGATGTCAGCTATGGTAGCCCTCAAGGACTCCAGGATAACTTTAAGGAGACAGAATTAGACCCTGTTCTTCAAGTTTAGCCATTCTGTTCTGCATTCTGTTCTAAATATATTGAGGACTTTACTGAAAACTGGTAGCAGGCCCAATACCATTGATAGTGCTTGTAGACCCAAGAGATAACAGTCTGTGAGCTACCCAGGGGTAACGAGTGTGAAGGATGTACACATGAAGGGGTAAATACTGGAAGAAGATGCACCATAATATTACTTACGGATCTGTAGTGTAAACATAGGCAATGACATCCTTTAGGGCAATGAGCAAAATGCAGCAAGTCAAAGCACAGCCCTCTGCAGGAGGACAAAAACAAAACACATTTTCTAATGAATGCTGATGCTTGGGGAAGGCTTAAAACTTCTAATATTTTATTGCTCTATATGTCTCTCTGTCTCAGTGACAACTGTTCACCCCCTTAAGGTTATCTCCAGGGAAAAAGGAAAAAAACTACCCCCCCCCCCCCCATCCTTCACCGGCAGCCAAGGCTCTACTCTACTCCCCTATACTCTGGAAGTGGACTGTCTCTGTGTCCTTACATCCAGTGCAAAGCTATGGGATTTGAATTGGACTTAATGACATCAAATGACCTGTGACTGCCGAAGCATAGGGGAAGGAAGGCTGTGGAGATTGGTCTTACAGCTTGGAGGCAGCCTGCAGGTGCAGAGGATCAGAGTTATGGCACCTTAGACCTAAATGAGCATTTAACTCTTTGCAGTGCTGGGGTAGCCTCATCTTTCCTGTCCCTAGAGTTCAGCTTTAACTATTTCAGCCATCCCAGGTGAAGGAAGAATGGGGAATTTCTTTCCTCAATATAAACTATTTAAAATTAAAACAAAGAAATTTGGATTTAATGGGTGCTGGACAGAACATGACATAGGCAGAAATCCCTCCAACACAGGTAAAGAAGAGAAATCTCCTCAATTGGGACATCAACAGCATTTAAAGCTTCACAAAGTTAGACTCCATTTCCACTCTATCCAAAACTTACAGACAATTTACAAAGCCTTATCACAGCTGTACCACTAATTTAAAAAAAAAAAAACACATTTATAAAGCATGGTGATATGTGCTTTGTAAATTTACATAGTGCTCAACCAGCTTTCAGAGTCTGAAGCAAGTAAAGCACTGTTAACATTAATGAAGTGTCTTCCCAGGCCAGTCATGCCCCAGTCTACCTAAATGGACTGCTTCTACCCTCTCTCAGACATACATGGTGCTGATGGAAAGGGACTTGCACCACCTGGCCTCTCTTCACGAAGTCTGTGTCCATTCCCCCAGTTTTTGGCTCACTTATTTTCAACTTAGTGATTTTTTTTTTTACCAGTTTTTGCACCACAGAGTCCCCCTACATAGAACCCTAATGCTTTTGAAAACACACAGGGGTAGATTTACTAAAACTGGAACACCCAGAGTCTGGTGCAGCTGTGCATGGTAGCCAATCAGCTTCTAACCTCAGCTTGCTCAATTGAGCTTTGACAATAAAACCTGAAATCTGATTGATTTTTATGTATACAGTTGTGTTCAAAATAATAGCAGTGTGTTGAAAAAAGTGAATAAAGCTCAAAATCCTTCTAATAGCTTTTATTTCCATACACACAAATGCATTGGGAACACTACACATTCTATTCCAAATCAAAATATGAAGAAAAATATATCAAATTTGTGTTGTTCCTCTAAAGAAATTGAAGAAAAGTGAATATTAGACTGTTCAAAAAAATAGCAGTGTTTGTATTCTTCTTTACAAACTCAAACATTCACTATATAAACTGAAAAATGTTTTAAGATTTTGCTTTCCTTTGAATCAGTTAATTAATATTTAGTTGAATAACCTCTGTTTCTGAGAACTGCTGTACATCTGTGTTGCATGGAGTCAACCAACTTCTGGCACCTGTGAACAGGTATTCCAGCCCAGGATGATTGGACTACATTCCACAATTCTTCTCTATTTCTTGGTTTTGCCTCAGAATCTGCAATTTTGATGTCACCCCACAAGTTTTCTATTGGATTAAGATCCGGGGATTGGGCTGGTCACTCCATAACGTCAATCTTGTTGGTCTGGAACCAAGATGTTGCACGTTTACTGGTGTGTTTGGGGTCGTTGTCTTGTTGGAACACCCATTTCAAGGGCATTTCCTCTTCAGCATAAGGCAGCATGACCTCTTCAAGTATTCTGATGTATTCAAACTGATCCATGATCCCTGGTATGCTATAAATAGGCCCAACACCGTAGTATGAGAAACGTCCCCATATCATGATGCTTGCGCCACCATGCTTCACTGTCTGCACAGTGTACTGTGGCTTGAATTCAGTGTTTGGGGGTCGTCTGACAAACTGTCTCCGGCCACTAGACCCAAAAAGAATAATCTTACTTTCATCAGTCCACAAAATGTTGCGCCATTTCTCTTTAGGCCAGTCAATGTGCTCTTTGGCAAATTGTAACCTCTTCAGCACATGTCTTTTTTTCAACAGTGGGACTTTGCGGGGGCTTCTTGCAGATAGCTTGGCTTCACATAGGCGTCTTCTAATTGTAACAGTACTCACAGGTAACATTAGACCTTCTTTGATCTTCCTGGAGCTGATTGTTGGCTGAGTCCTTGCCATTTTGGCTGTTCTATCCATTCGAATGGTAGTTTTTCACTTTCTTCCACATCTTTCAGATTTTGGTTGCCATTTTAAAGCATTTGCGATCATTTTAGCTGAGCAGCCAATCATTTTCTGCACTTCTTTATGTGTTTTCCCCTCTCCAATCAACTTTATAATCAAGGTACGCTGTTCTTTTGAACAATGTCTGGAACGACCCATTTTCCTCAGAATTTCAGAGAGAAATGCACTGTAACCAGCATGTACAACATTTGCTGCCTTCCTTCCTTAAATAAGGGCAATAATTGCCACCTGTTTTTCAAAGAATGAATGACCTCACTAATAGAACTCCACACTGCTATTATTTTGAACATGCCCCTTTCATTGAGTGATTCAATTACACAGAATCAGCAGCATGCATGTCATGACTGTTGGGTCTGTTGGATTTCTATTACTCTACTACACCTGCTAGTAAATTATTTGCCATGTAGAAATATTATTTCTACCAAAAACAGTGATTGATCAGGTTAGTGATGTCTGACTGCTATTATTTTGAACACAACTGTACCTGCACCAGATTTTGCATGCTCCAGTTTTAGTAAATAACCCCCACAGAGAGAGAACTGTCCCCCCGGGCAATAGGGGATCATGGGGCCCCTGTGTCCTTGCCCAAACTCAAAAAAGCCTATGAAAAAGGTACCATGGGCATCTCATGGGACCCCCTACTGACCCCGGGCCCTCGGGCAGTGCCCGAGTTTCCAAATGGTCAGTCCGCCCCTGCTATAATATAAAAAATCTATACTTAGAAACCTAAAGCAGACCTGAAAGCAAAAAGTACTGAAGGATTAATAGCATAATGATAATTCTAAAAATTTTTCTTAACAGGGTGCAGAAGCCCTCTGGACTATTTATTTTAAATTAGTACTTTTCCTTACCTGTCAATAACAATGCTACAACCATGGATTTCTTTGCCTGTGCTATGTCTCTGGCCCCCAAAGAGTGACCTATACGAACACTGACTGCGATGCTGTACCCCACCGGCACCTGCAGGGTGGAAACACCTATGGTTACATCCTTGCTAGGACAAATGAATAAGCTATTTTACAGTGGTTGGGGAACTACAAGTGTCAGCATAACCCACTGCATGACAGTTCATACACAAACTTGGAAAGGCAGTGCAAGGAGCAGGGAAGAAGTGAAGTGCAGCAACTGACCAAGAATCAGATTTCAGTTTACCATTTTGTATTGTAAATTATAAAGATATATTTGTTAGGGTAAATATAAACTAAGGTAAATAATTAAGCTATTAGTAGGGATATAAGAGGTGGAAAAACTTGCCAATAATTTATATAAATTATTATATATTATAAATACAGCGCCTTGAAAAAGTATTCATACCCCTTGAATTTTTCCACATTTTGTCATGTTACAACCAAAAACGTAAATTTATTTTATTGGGATTTTATGTGATAGACCAACACAAAGTGGCACATAATTGTGAAGTGGAAGGAAAATGATAAATGGTTTAAAAACTTTTTTATAAATAAATATCTGAAAAGTGTGGCGTGAATTTGGCATATGACGTGTAAACGCATCTAATTACACGTTAACGCTAGGTGCATTTAGTGCTTGACAGTTAATTCATTTCAATTGCCAGAATATAATTATTCTGGCCAATTAAATTAAGGAATGCCCAAGCGCTTGACGCACCTATACGCGCTTGCACACGTTTACAAGTGTCAATTGCTTTTCCTTCCAAAACCTTGCTGCCAGGATGAAAGGTTTCTAAGAGAGATAGTAAAACATCCAGTATGCATGAGTATGAGTACAAAGGAGGAATACAGAAAATGAAAGCGTCTACAATTTATTAAGGTATAAGAGAGTAATACAGGCCATACATGGGTTGAATTCTGAACAAATTTTCTTTAGAAAATCGGAAATTTTGTGCGTTTTGTAATCCGATGGTGCCACCATTGATTTTGAAATTCGACCAACCAAGTTTCACTTCGTGTTGCTACAGAAAATAATTTTTATGGCCAAGAATTTTCTTTTTTTTCCAGGTCACAGCTCATGCTCATTTCTTTTTTCAGTTACATTTCTTGCCCGATTCTTCCATCACTGATTCAAAGTTCATTTGTTTTTCAAAAAACTTCCAACATGCCCGATCGCTCAAATTCAATGGTCACACAGAAATTGGCCTTTTCTGTGACCCACTAAAGCCCCGTACACACGATGAGAATATCGGACGAACGATCACCCGATTTTTTTTTTTTTCATCTGCTAGTCTCACATCGAAAGTGAAAAGGTTATTAAAGATATGAAAATTCACCTATGAAAGAAAATAATTTTGAAAGTTTTGAAAGTGATGTCATGTATTTTATTTGTATTGTATTTTTTGGATGACTACTGTACTGATTAAATGAAAATCGTATGCTCTGGTATCGTACGAGAAATATTTTGGCGCTTGTCTCTTCAGATATTGTCACACAAATTGTCGTGATCGGCTCTTGAAAGCTGTGTACTAACGATCCGATTATCAGACGATCGGTCCTCATACGAAAATTTTCGTATAATATTCTTCTAGTGTGTACGGGGCATAATAGTGTGGAATTCAAATGAAAATTCTTCGAAAAGATTTTTGAAAGAAAATTTGACCCGTGTATGGTCGGCTTAAGGGAGGATTGAGGACATGGAGGAAATCTATTAGGATAAAGGGGAAGATACAGAAGATGAAATATCTTAGATTCTGATAGGGTATATGGGAGCATAAAAAGGTGGAATAGCTTACATTATATTACTTATCAGTTAAATAGTAAACTACCTCAATTTAGTCCATAACTAAACTAGAAAAAAAATGGCTAAAGTTCTATTTAAAAATAAAGTACCCAACCACAAGAAAACAGAAATCTGCTCAATAAGGTCTTGGCAGATCTGTGACATCCCTTACTAGATTGTTACCATGAAGACGATATTAGCCATTTGGTAGATAATAGACTGGGCCCCGAGGTCCTCCACGCTGAGTATTCCTATAGGAGGCAAAGAACACCAGTATTATAGCAGTGTACACATGACACTATAGAACAGATATGGACAATGCCTGTTCGTCCAGCTACGATAGGACTACAAAACCTGGCATGCACTGCAGGTCACAGGTTGAAAAAAAAAATAAAATAAAGGGTTATTTTTTCTGAACCTGTAATTCTGAGGAAGTAGTCATGATAACATCACAACGAAAATAGAACAGTGCATTTAAAATACTAGACTACTGCCTAAATATGAACTCCAGCCCAAATCTTTATTTTAAATACAATTCTTGTTTCCACCTTTTTCATCCTTTGTTACTTCTCAGTGCTGCTGTTCTCCTGCAGGCTCTTTCGGGCCATTTCCTCTCTACCTGCATACATTACAGCAATGCCTATACAGTATTTCCCAGGGTAGGATTCCTGGTGGTGAAAACAGTGGGATATGTCCAGGGGCGGACTGACAACTCATGGGGCCCCCGGGCAATAGGGGATCATGGGGCCCCTGTGTCCTTGTCCAAACTCAAAAAAGCCTATGAAAAAGGTACCAGGGGCATCTCATGGGGCCCCCTACTGACCCCGGGCCCTCGGGCAGTGCCCGAGTTTCCAAATGGTCAGTCCGCCCCTGGATATGTCTGTGTAATGTGTGTTGTAATGTCAAACTTTTGGTAACCATTGCAAGCCTATATGACAGGGTGACAACGTAGGAGAACAATTTGGGAACAGGGACAGAGAGCTGTACCCCTGTAAGAGAAAGTGCCTTAGCATTGAAGATGACAACTGATTGGTTTCACTTTTTCCCTGTTTCTCTCAGCTTCTATAATGAGTGTTCCAGCAATGTGTGTAGCTGAAATCTACAGCTGAAATCAGATTACAATATACAGTTGGGATCTCGAAAAGTAAGACTTTGCTAGACGCGCACAACAGTATTGTTGCTTTCAGTCATGATTGGTGTCAAGCAAGAAAACATCATGTGATTTAATGAAAATGTCTTTTCAATTGGCACTGAGATTTTTATTTACTTCCACATCTTTTTGGATTACCTGTCCGCTGAAAACTTGTAAACTGATTGGAAGTTGAATGTGGTTGAAAGCCACCAAACTGCCTAATATATGCCTACTTTACATGGGAATTTGAGATCAGTTTTGTGTTTTATTATTATTTCTCCATAGAAGTCATTGTGGTTACATGGCAAACAAGGCATGATTGGATCCCTGGTACTGTAACTGACCTGACAGTATGATCCCAATTTCAAAGGGTCCACCACTCAATGCACAGCATGAGCATGCTAGGAATGGCAAGTTGGGTGAAGGAGCCCCAGTCGTCAAAGCAGGCCGTAGACCATCCTGGGGAAAATTAATAGAACATAAAAGTTATTGAACAACTGGTAATATGCAACCCCCCACTCTTCTTACCTAATACTTTTAAACCCGAGTATAATGATTCCTAAATGAATGCAAACCTTTCAAGTCCTAAAATGCTGTAAACATAAACCAGTCCCGTTTGATATCTATGTTTGGATTTTGGATTTTTAGTTATCTAAATTACATGTTTTGATTTTGGAGTAATATCTAGTTTTCTAACTTGCTAACTAAAAATAAAGTGAAAGTATATATCAGAAGGGAAGGCATAGTAAGTCACTGGGCACAATGGCTAGCAAATTTGCAGTTTCCCTAGCAGACTTCAAGCTAGGTCAGCACTCTTCCTTTCTCAGCAGGAAGTTGGAACCAACCAGGGCAGAGAAGGAAATTCTGACAAAAGACAGTTAAGTAGAAACCAAATAACACTAGTACATTTTTGGGGTGTGATAGGTTAATTATACAAACACTTGGAGAACATGCAAAATGAAAATGACTTAAAGCAGAGCTCCACCAAAAAGGGGAAGTTACACTTTAAGCCATTAAGGATTGGCACCTTTGGGGAGCGGGTACCTGAATTTGACACTACTTCTGGTGTGGTCGCCTAAGGCAATCAGAAGCGAAAGCTGTCCTCCCTCCCTCCCTGTAGTCTTATGGGATATGTGACAGGTCCCTGAAGCCTACAGGGCCATTCACAAAATGCAGCTCTTCTTGCGCATGCACAGTGGGCACCCGGCTGTGAAGCCGCAAGCTGTTACAGCCGGATGCCCACACTGAAGATGCCAGAGCTGGGGAGAGAAGACAGCTGGTGAAACTAGCCATGGTAAGGACACCCCCCTGGATCAAGGGACAGGTAAGTGTTTGTATTTTAAAAGTCAGCAGCTACAGTGCTTCAGTGCCGGGTGCCCACTGCACATGCGCGAGTAGCGCTATGCTTTGTGAATGGCCCCGTAGTCTTCTGGGACCTGTCACGTGTTCCAGAAGACTACGGGGAGGGAGGGGTGGAGGAGGACAACTTCCGCTTCTGATTGCAGCGGATACCTGTCAAATTCTGGTACCCGCTGCCCCCCCCCCCGCTGCTCAAAGGTGCCAATCCTTAAAAAGGGCTTAAAGCAGGACTTCCCCTTTTGGCTGGAACTCCACTTTAAATACTCCTTAGCTCCACAGCTTTCAAAGTGATGTAAGCATATGATAAGAAGCTTTCTAGTTGCCACACAGATGGTTTGAAGCATGGAATTACTAGATATTAAAGCAGATAATTCCTTTCTTTTCATTTTTGTTGAAATGCCCAAATAATAAATGAGTTTGATGTCCCAGGTGACATGTGATCAAGGTCTTGCGGTCGGTACCTCCCCAGGTGTCCACGTAAAGTTTCCTCCACACTATGTAACCGAAGAGGAGAATGGCCTGGACATACTGAGAGATGGTATTAGCCCATGCTGAGCCCCTGAGGACAGAAACAAAGAGATGTTCACTGCTCCATAGATGTATATTACAGGTTTGCCATCATTAATGACTAGAAACTCTAGTTTACATCATTGCTTTCCTAAATATCTTTTTTCTACCAATATACAGTATATCT